TTTGGCACTCGTACCTATTGTGACCTATACCCCATGTCAAAGCGACCAAGCTGAGAGCTTCATCTTTACTGGGACATATACGCTTTCTCAGGACGTATCTGCCAGTCCTACACCATTCAATAACTACGCTAATCGCTCACTCCGTCCAATGGTGAAGGCTTTACCCTTTTTCTACCTCATTTTTGCTTTCGCTTAAATTCAGAGCAAATTGAAAGTTGTTTAGGGCTGGGATTGCTACAATACACAGACTTTCAAGATCAAAATATTCGGAATTTCAACGCTATTTGAGGTCCCAGGGTAGCTCTGCTGACTACGTTGGTTGGTACGCTATCATTTTTGGGGAAGTGGATGGATCGGTGAGCGTTCTGTACATACTTTAGGTATTACTCTAATACAAAAGTAGAGCATGGTACGTAGGTACAGTATCTTGCACAATTACCATGCCTACCCCAGACTCTTCCCGAATCTTTTCCCAAACCCTAACACCTATACTAGTCTGTATATAGTTGGCCTGTAAATAAGATATCTTGGCAGGTACCGATTTGTCTTGTAATTTCCATCAAAATTACACTCAATCTCACAGGAGGCGTAAAGCCCATACAGAATTCTAGATGCTTCGGTCGTGGGTGACTCGGGCACATGCCACTCAGATGGGGCAATTTGTCAACATTTGAACGTCTTCACTCTCCCATACCTACATCTAGTGCTGCTGAACTGTCTGAAAACACCATGCAAGAGCTGATAGTTTGAACAGGACAGGCCGAGTTAGCAAAATTCATGCTGTTAGTAATCATTCTACTTGGCCTGTCAGATGAAGCCTTCCCCAACACGAGAGCAGGCACTGGTCGTAAGACTAACAGCGATGGCACTAATTCTAGGTAGCTCAAAGCCGTTGTCGATTTAAAGGCAATGGCATACAGTCCCTCAGAGGACGTTTCCCAATACCAGCCAGCCAACCTTTGGACTAGCACTCCGGAATATGCCCCAACCCCTGGTTACTTCGGTCGTACCTCCGAATCATCATGTTCCTCCCCAGAATACGTGCCCGATGATCATCGTTCAACCCATCACCAGCCACAAGCAGAACAGCTAGAATTCCTCCCATTCGCAGACTGGGAAGAGGAACGGGTGTATAATGAGCAGCCTCCTGTATATATACATTATCGGATCGACTGGAAAGTGACCCTCAACGGCAAGAGTATTGCGCAGATCACCGAGCCAGACCTAGTAGTCAGGCCAAGTGAATTTTGGCAAAATTCTCTGAAGGATGCGGCGGAAAGGTTCAAGAATCGTAAGGTGGATCATACCCGGAGGGTCCAGAATGGATGATATAACTGTTGTGGCGTCCGTTAAGGACCGGACCCAGCAGGATCTCCGTCAACAAGATGAAAGCACTAAAATCAAGTGGGCAGTTATAGAAAAGCAGCTCTTGATGCGGAGCAATCTATTCCGCCTTGGCAAACAGATCAAACTTTAAGTATCCATCAACTACACAGATGACAGCAATGCGGCTTTGCTAAGAAGCGGAGAGAAAAGAGCTGCTACGTCGGTGACGAAGCGGATGTTCGCTGAGCGGGATGCTCAAATTGATGGTGAGAACGTGTCCGGACAAGCTTCCGCTGGCGGGACGTATTTAGAAAGATACGTTGTCCGGGACCTCCATGTCGGAATCGAAACGGGTACTGCTGGCAGGAACCCGTCGGAAAGAAGCATTACAGGCTTTTGACTCATCATGTTAAACGCCTGGCTCGTTTAGTAGAGAGGGTCATACCTTTGACACCCACGACGATATGCCTATTGAGATTCGGGATGAACTCTACGCAGAGGATTAACAGTGGCAAGAAAGACAACATAAAATGTCAAAAAGCCCGCAGTCCCAAGGATCAGGTCTCCCAATCAATATCAATTTTCTGCCACACTCCCCTCAGCCTCCAGCGCTCGCCACCCCAGCTGATACCCCACCTACGTTGCCACATTCGAATCCAGACATGGTCGACATACTTCTGATCCCGGCTCTTCCATTAGATACAGCAGTGAAAGAGTACAGTTGCTGGCAGCAGTCAAGAGTCGACTCTCACGCGCTTAAGGACGATATCGAGAAGGCCTGTGATTTAGCGTTAACAAACGGACTAGATCTCAGGCAGATTCATGAGGATAAGGATCCGGAGTTTTTAATTAGGAATGGGGTGAAAGTCGGTGTTGCCCGTCGTTTTGTGAATGACATTCGTGAATGGCTTGAACAGTTGTGATGCTCCAGCAATGGTTCATGTTGGGTGGAGGCTTGGCATGTCTGATGGCCGGCCATCACACATATTGTGATGCCTGTTTGTTCTGTTTGTACTCTGCATATCGCTTGTTTTGTGTTATCGCGTCACGCTTTCCACAATGTCTCCTTTTCCTTCCCAACGTATCAAGTTCCCGATTTCGTGCCAATACAAAGCGTTATATTCCGGATAAATATTTAAGTTAGACACGTGTTTGTTACCTGTCATAGCCAGACATTGCTACCTCAATGCCCCGCGTCAATGTTCTCGTACCCGGAGAGTGTCTTCTTGGCAACTAATCATTTACACCAGTTGAATTTCAATCTGCTACCTCCCCATTACATACACATATCCCCTATAGCGGCCGCGGGGCCGCAAACAACGCAACTCGTACGAATATCACGGGGATTTCCTATGTTTGCGCTGGTTTGCTGAACCGAGTCTTGGCGGTTCCGAACTGGATCAAACTGTGTCTGGCGTGGTTCACTACGAGGTCTACTCCACATCTGGTGGTCATGTACTAGTTGCCCCCGAACAGTGGAATATGTAGAGATGTATGTTTTCAATTAATCATTGTACAAATATGACTCGGGGGTACAGACTACAGAACAAGAAGCTGGCAAACGGCCACTGCAGCTGCCCAGCTTCCCAGCATCCTCAGCAAACCACTAATAGCAGCCGTGTCAGCATAGGACTACATTGAGTAGCGCGGTTCACAACTACGGGCCTCTGTGTATCCTCTTCAAGTGCCGTCAGCTCGAAGACCGAAGTTCAGCAATAAGACTTCGATGCGCTGACGAATTTTTCGACGGATAGTCCGCACGGCATCTAAGCCTTCGCCGGCAGGGTTGTCAAGTTTCCAGTCGAGATAGCGCTTTCCAGGGAAGAGGGGGCAGGCATCGCCACAGCCCATAGTGATGACAACGTCGCTGGCTTGAATAGCATCGGTGGTTAGAATCTTCGGTTTTTGGTCGCTGATGTCGATACCTTCTTCGAGCATTGCCTCGACGACGACGGCGTTGATGGAGTCGACTGGGGCCGATCCGGCGGAACGGACTTCAATGGTGTTGCCGGCGAGGTGGCTTAGGTAGCCAGCGGCCATTTGGGAGCGACCGGCATTGTGGACGCAGACAATAAGACGCTGGGCTTATTGGCCATCGTGTATGTCTTTTGAGTGATCGGTGGAAGGTCGTTGTGAAATATCTTCCTGAACGTGCCAGTGACCTCGGGAGGGGTGAGATTATCACAATCGAAGTACTTGGCGGGTGTGAAGAGTGAATGCCTCTAGGATATGTTATGTAGAAAAAGTGGGGATGCCTTCCTATAAGCAAGAGAGACAAAAGGAGGCTGTTTTGAGTTTATGTACCACGTGTTGACTTTACAAAGGAACACATTCAATGTTGATCTAGAACATTCTTATCTATGACTCGGAGTGTTGGCCCACAACACAATAGTGTTTGACGGGGGCTTTCAAGTGCATGCAAAATCTCACCTGGAATAGAGCCTACAATGCTAGAGTCGAAATCATTGTCTCGTCATATCAACGAAGAGTTTAGGTTTGTGGCACTTAGCAAATCTGGACTGGCAGCTGGCGGCCTGCTTTGTATTGAGGCCGACAGGATGTCGTCTTTGAAGATCGTTTTGACTGGCATACCCCTGGGTCTACCGATTGATGGCAATCAATGTCACTCGGACATTATGACTGGTCGAAATTCTGATGGGGGATTGCTACATTTTCGTCCTGACGAATCACAAATCTAGAGCAATGCCAGTATGTCATTGCTTTGTTATGATTGGACGATAACAGCAAACTGTCACTCATCTGATGTGATTGGTCTTCACAAAAATTACCCACTTTAACGGCCACAGTACCGTACGGTAAGCACATCAATTCAACATTGAAACAGAATATCAGGTACGGAGAAATTCGTTTGTCTGTTGAGATTTGTGGGGTATGACTGACCTGCCTTTCAATTTTCCTTTACTATTTTACACCGTTAACCTGTTGGTGTTAGATATGACTACCACAAGCATCTCAACCAGATTTCACGTTACGTTGTATCGGTAAACCACTTGGACCGGCGAGATCCACTCCGAATGCGATGACATAACCACCCTGAACAGTTAACGTAATCGGTAAGCGGGCGGCGCACCTTGCCAAGCATTCTGGTTTACATACATTTTTGAAGCCAAAAATCAACGTATTTACACCGTTAAAATCGCGTTTTCTTGGTGTTGATCTTTCGCAGGGCACCTCGTACGTTTATGGCCGATTTGATTACAGTCCGAACACCGCGGTGGCGCGCGGCGGCGAGGTGGTTCCTCGCCGGCTTCCTGCTGAGGCATCTCGATCCCGGGTGCTTCAACAGCCTCACCAGCCTGCTGGAAAACTTCAATTGCCTCGTTAACGGTGAAGCCGTGTAGGTCAGGCATCTGGCGATGACTTCGTTTCCTCTTTTTCTCTTGGCGTTCCTTCGTAGCCCGTAATTGGTGATTTTCATGCTCGAGCAGGGCCGCCCGGCCGAACGCGATCTCACAGCCCTTGACTATATACGTCAAAGCTGATTTCATTGGTGTTGACGGGCTCGGTATACATTCACGAAGTAATCTCTCGATCGTAGTTTCATGTTTCCTCAATTGCCTCACGTTCATAGGCGTTCTTGGCACGGTTGACGCGGTGCTTGGCCGGCTAACTGGGGTGGCCTCGCGGAGGCAGTGTACAAGCTGCCCAAGCACTTCCTGAGGCTGGAAAGGCACCAAGCCGGAAGCACGAAAAGCACTTTGAATCGTTGAGGCTTTGAAGGCAAGGGAACGGGCGTCTGGATACGTATCAAGGAAATCAGCCTTGTCAACATGGTGAACACCCGCTCGGACTAAGTTCTCAATCAAGCCTCCATACGCCCGTTTTAACGGTGAGAAACAGGCAACATCCAACGGTTGACAGAGATGCGAGGAGTGCGGAGGCATGCAGATAGGAACAACACCATTTTGGCTACAAATCTTATCAAAACGAGGCGTTAAATGGGAGTCATGCCCATCGAGAATCAAGAGGCTATATCGGCCGACCCTCTGCGGCTTCGTTAAAGGAATAAAGTGTTCTTGAAGCCAGTGTAATCCGATTTCGTTACTGGTCCAGCCGTTCGGTGAGAGGTTAATTCTCCATGTAGAAGGCACCTTGCCCTGATACCAGGCCTCTATATAGACCTTCCCCTTAAGAATCAAGTACGGAGGCAGGACCCAGCCTGAGGCGTTAATACACTCAATTGACGTCACCCATTCGCGATCTCCAGGCTGTATAAGGAACGGCTTGCCCACGCAGTCAGATCTCGTGATAACTCGCGCGGCTGCAACCAGGCCCATGGCGAAGCCAGTTTCATCAAAGTTATAGATATCTTGATCAGTGATTCCGTACTCCGATATAGCAGCCTGAACGCGGTCAAACCACTCGCGAAGAATCACTGGATCCTCGCAGCGAGCCCTCTTATAATTATATCGACGTGAGAATCGCGATTTTAAGGAATCATGCCGATTGACAAAGTTATACACCCATTTATGGCCGATTTTCGTTGTAGCAGCAGCGCCGCGCTTTTGGATCAAGATTTCGGCCATAGAACGAACATGTATAGGCCTGGGAGGAATTCCTCGCTTATCCATGGAGAGAATCCACTGTTCCAACGATTCCTCCTCTGCAGGAGTCAATTTATATGAATTGGCGCGTGTATCAGCTCGAGATTTGACTCCATTCAAGCGTCTGCGAAGAGTTGTCTCCGAAACTGCAAAAACCCTCGCTGTTTTGCGTACAGAGAGAATTTCTTGCTTTTTAAAAGCCTCAATTGCCAAGGCGAGCCTGCCCTCTTGTTCCACCGCATTTTTTGGCGATACAGGCATTTTTGGTGGTTTTATTGATGATTTAATAGCTTCAAGTTAACGAGGGTGACTGTTTTGGTGGTGGGCGCGCCGCCCGCTTACACGCGCCACTCGCTTACCGATTACGTTATACCTCTTGGTTTCCAAGTCCACTTACATGTACTTATGAGACATGAATAAGTCGCAGTCAGTCATTGGTTGGAGGGTAGGGTTCCCTTTAATTATAAGTAATTGCGGATTTCTCGTGATATCAGTGATACGTGATTAGACAAATGAAATCCGGATTTTAGCCGACTTATATCCGCTTCGGCTGGATCTCCAGCTACTCGCTTTTCCTCAAAATTCCTAATATACAAAAGCACAAATAAAAACATAACTAGTCAAACATACAGGGACGCCCTGGAGAGGAAAATATTTGGAGATGTTACTCGTGACCATGAAAAGTTTCCTACCAAGCGACGGAATAGAATGCGTTTGGTCAAAAGTATTCCACCACGCTATTGGCCACTCGAGAACAAAGTAACACCATTTACCCCGCACCGCTTGGTCGTAATTTTATCTCCGCTCGGATTGCCTACAACTTCAATTATCCAGACCACCACAATTTCTATGTTGCCAAAAGCTTGATATGTCATGGAAAGATGAAATCTTCATACAGCCAGGCTCTACGGACCCTTGCCCCAGCTACGGACATTGGCTCCCTGGCCATTAATCCTGCCATTAATCCTGTTCAAGACACTGTCGTCAAGCCAATGCGAAAAAGAACAAATGCCTGTGAAGCATGCAAGAAGAGGAAATCAAGAGTATAACTCCAAATAGTCCGTCTTGAAGACATCTAACTGAGAACGACTTATAGTGTCTAGGAGAGCTTCCGTGTGATAGATGTCTTCAGACAGGCACAGAATGTCATTTCATGGAAGAATCTGATAGACGAAGAAAGCTTGCACTGCGCCGTATCGAACAGGAACTGAGTTCAGCCTACTTCTTACTTGATCAAATCAAAGCGGCTTATGAAGC